ACTAGTGTCTTTTTGGGTTCTTTTCCCTCAAGAGCTTTGTAAATCGGCCCTATTCCCACTTATAATAAGAAAAGGTTTTATATTGTGGATACAGTCACTACTTTCCTCTGCATATTTTTCCAATCTTACAGAAATCTGAAACCTTCCGTGTTTATTGGAAGCTGAACCACCTCTCCAAACCTTGGAAGTCTCTGAGGGAGGTGAAGGATTATTCATTCTCACAGTGTGCTGCCTCTCCCAAGCCAGGTCTCGGTATTCATACCGGTCATGTTACATTTCATAGTTTGCCTGAAATGAAGGAGCCCAGAGACCATAACACAATTACCTAATGTGCAGCTGCTCCTGGCAGCTCTGAGCTGCTACAGTACAGGCAAAGGAGAGTGTGCGCTGAGATATGTTGTCGTCAGTTAGCATACCTTGATTTGGAAAAAAAAAATAATCGTGTCGGAAAAGAGTATTGCGCAAGTGATTAAGTGTGTTTCCACCTTTGCAGTCAGATTTGAGAAACCTTTACTGTTTGTAGTAACTAAGTTCACAACGTGAAAATCCTCTGCCTCTGGAACCCCCGGGTGCCAACCAAAGAGGGTTTTCTGTGATCAAGCCCATATTGGCTAAAACAATAGAGGCAGAGCCAGCTATGCCCGCCTCCTCCCTCATTTGTTCCTCCACTTAGCGCTGGAGGATCGGAGAGGGGAGGGGGGAGTCTCTGCAGGGCACAGTGACTGATGGTCACCACACTCTGTAGGGAGATGATCATAAATTGAGCGAGCGATGGTATGTGTTCGCTCACTACCTGATCAATAGAGCTGACCTGTGACAGCCTCTTTGTCACAGTTCGGCTCTAATTATGAGGATGAGTGGAAATGAAAGCATATCTAAAACCAAAACCAAAAATTTTGTATATTGCACCTTCAATATGGTGGCTGATAAGTTTTCTTTTGTTAGGATTTTTCTTCTTTTTTCACCTGGTGAATTGCACACTTCCTGTCCCTTTTGAGTCTAGCTGGTGGTCACACCTGCCGGACCTCAAAGTCTGCATTTGGTGGTTTTCATTACATGGTAGTTGATAAGATTAGTAGGTTGAGCAAGAAAGACGAGATTTGGTTATCAGTGCTGGGTTTCAAGCTTTAGGTATGCTTTAATACAGGGCTGGACAAATTAATGTTGTAGCTGCTTTTAAAGGAAACCTATCATTAATTAAATACTAAGTCCCCATTCACGCCAAGGCATTTTGTTGTTTAAAGGTAAGCACGTCCAAACATTCAAAACAAGGCATGCCATTCACATGTCTTGAGTGTAACCAAATGCTCAAGAAAAGGAATCTCATTTATTTATGTGGCCTGTTCACCCCTGAGCGTTTTGTCACACAGTCTCCCATTGAAGTCTATGGGACCAAAAAGTAGCTCATGTACTTCCATCAACAGGTGTTTTTCTCCTTGCGACAAAACGCTCAGGTGTGAACAGGGGCTATAGAAATGAATGGGATTCCTGGTCGTAAATGTTTTTTCGTGCTCAAGACAAGTAAATGGGATTCGCTTCGCTTTGCTATGAGCGACAAAACACCTCTGCCTTACTCTTGTGATTGGGGCAGCTCACGAATTGCTTTAGTGCAGTGATTGCCTATGGATGATCAATTGGTTTGCGTCCAGGGGCGATCTTCCTCAGGTAATCGTTGCATGTCTGAATACGAACGGCTGCAGAGCGCTGTCAGCTGTCATTGCTTTGTATAGGTCAGTTGTTTGTGTAAGCAGGAAGCAATTTGTGAAACTGGCCCAAACTAAGTGTGAATGGGGCCGTAGGCTTCCACTGTTGACCTCTCCTAAAAATACTAGTTTGCTTGACTGTAATGCTATTGTTTTGGCTTGAGTCACTAACACTGAAAGAGTATAGACGTAAGGAATGCTTTTTGTTCTTCAATGTCTACATACTTACCCCTTGACTCCGAACTATAGAAGCTTCCATATTTTTATCATGACAGTGGGTACATGTCAAATCTTTGACTGCCCCTGGCGGCTGATCGCATGTATTTAGCTGGTCTAAGCATGTGTTTGGTTAAATCCTGCTCTGTGTATCCAGCCAGTATTCCATGTGCTTTGTCTGTTATGTATGTATTGTTCGTGTTTTCTGTCTTTCATGAATAACCGGGCCGCCTTCCTCCCCAAAACCCTGGAACAGGAAGCAAGCAAAGTTATCTATGAGAAACATCTCTCCCATCGGGCCTAGTCATGTCATCTTGCCAAGAAATGCTTTAGTACAACGTTTACATCATCTGACACCTTATGCTGTTTGGGTTTGTTTTTGTTTTTTCATTCTTTAGGAAAGGAGATCCCATAGGAAAACATGCCGAATAGTGCAATGACAATACAAGTAGGGCAGTTATCAAAATTTATAGAAAAAACTAACAGAACAACATTGAACCAACTATAACACACAGAAATATACATCAAGAAAGCAGATATACATGATCTCCATCTACTTCCCCTACAAGAATCCACATTTTTCTTAAAACATGCTACCACTATTCCTTCATTTATAAGAGTAGTGGAGCACACAGAGAACTCCACCAGGAAAGGAAAAAGATCTCTGACATCAGGTCCAGATGTTTCAACCCGTTATTCAAAGGTTAAAAAGAATAAATATTCCGGAGAGGACACAAAGTTAAGCCACCTCCGGTTAAAAGCTGTGGCAGTACCGTGTAGCATCGAAGTAAGGTCTTCCATATTCATTAAGTCATTGAATCTGGCAAACTACATAGCCACTGATGGGGGTTCCTGTTTACGCCATAGTGCAGAATTTTTATTTAACTGTAAACACCCTAATCTCCCACCTGCAGCCACAATCGGAGAAATATTGATCACTTGGAATCAAGACAGAATAGCTCATTAAATATAAAATCTGTTTTTGCTGAAATACTCGCCTTCAATCCAGAGCTGGCCTCCACAGTGCATTTTTTTACCACAAGATGTCCTCAGTCTTTCAGGCATTATGACACCAGCTTTTTTTTTTACCCACTTCTCTAAACCTAAATCCAGGGCGGGGGTTATGGGCCCGTCCCCAGCCTGTGACTAGGCAGCACACTGATGAGCTCAACTTTTGTCACTCTGCTTTTTCTTCCTATCACCGTGCTGCTTGTCAGTACATTAACTGATTGCCTCCCTGTGCTGCTTCTTTCTCTTCCACTCAGCTCTGCTGTAAAGTGGACTGTAAGTGGTTGATACCAAATCATATTCAAGTGTTAAACATATTACTTAAAAAAAGTTGATGTATTGATAAATCCAGAACTGCGTTCATTTTTGTTTCTATATCTGCTTAGTGTTCAGTTTGACTAGACATTTGGTAAATATTAAGGTAAAGGTGGAAACCCCTATAAGAAAAACAGAATTTATTTTCTGGGTAATGCCACCAGTACTTGCAGGGTCAATCCAGGAAATGCTGAAGCTGTACTGAGTTATTATTATACAGGATTTATATAGCGCCAACAGTTTGCGCAGCGCTTTACAACAGGGTAGACATTACAATCGCAAGACAAGATGGTAAGGAGGGCCCTGCCCCTGAGGGCTTACAATCTAAAAGGGAGGGGCCAGTGATACAGGAGGTAGCTGTGTGGGGATGAAATGTTTGAGAACATGCTGGTTGAGTGGTTAGATTGAGGTGGGATAGGCTTCCCTAAAGTGATTAGTCTTTAGGGATCACCTAAATCGGAGTGGGAGATGGACAGGCAGGTTGGGAAAGGAGTTCCAAAGAATGGTAGACTCTAGCGGAGTCCTGGAGGCGAGCATGGGAGGAGTTGACGAGGGTGCTTAGAGAGCACGAGGTCTTGGGCGGTTAGGGTTATACTTTGAGACAAGGTTGGAGATGCAACCTGGGGCAGAGTTGTGGATGGCTTTGTAAGTGGTTAATAGTTTTAATTGTATCCCTTGGGCCACTGGAAGCATGTGGAGGGATTGGCAGAGGGGGGTTGCAGATACTGAGCGGTTGGTTTGGTGGATAAGTCTAGCAGCAGCATTCATGATAGACCTGAAGGGGGATAGAGTTCAAGAAGTCCAATCCATTTACCTTCAAGTTATGCTAATGAACGGGAGGGGGTCTCCAGCTTCTTATCACATGATACGTTGTAGGTGAACTTCCCTGATTTTGATTATAAAGTCTACATTGGGTGAGAAGTCGAAATATAATATGGCCTGTTTATTCACAAGGCTCAGTAATTGATGTTCTCAGATAATCATGTTGATAACAATAAGGTGATTCTAAAAGGAACCCATCAGAACAGAGAAAAAGGAGATGACATTACTAAATGCCTGACTAGATTAGGGTAAGTATCCTGCCTTTTTCTCCTGTAAGAAAAGGAATGACGGTCTGTTGCCTGCCCCCTCAAGTCCACCATGGTAGCGTTCAAAATTCTATTCTGAATTCCAGGCACAGAAAAATGTATTTAACTGAATTCCTCAATAGCCACAAAGAATATAAATCTACTTTGTGTGCACCAAACGGCTTTGCAGATCCAGATACCACCTTGTAAAAGTAGCAGTGACAATCATGGTGCTGCAAATAGCCTGTGTAGAGAACAGAGCTGTGAAAGGGACCCAACAGGCCGCCTGTACAAAACTACAGGAGGGGGCAGAGACCAGACCCAGTCACTCTGCACATGTAGAGAGAGCAGTAGTGTCCGGTCTTTATTACAGGAAGCTTCTGCACAGAGGCAAAGTTTCACACTGGATTATTGCACAGATCTGGAAGAAATACACAAAGCTCACACGTACACAACTCTTGTATTTAGATAATATTTCCTTACATTTGCTTACCAAGGGTTTGGCTTTAAGCAGTGGGGCTTCCTGGATAGAACAGAAGTCCCAGCTAGGCAGGCTGTGTTTTTGTATATTTGTATGTGTGAAAGCTTACGCTTTCATTTTGACTGCAGATTCCCTTTCAGTTGTCTTGCTATGTATCTGAAAGTTGTGTTGCTAGCATGTTTTTATAAGGTTGTGTCTTTTATGTGGCAGTCCAGAGAGGCAGAAACCAGAGTGGTTCCTTCAGAAAGATTCCGATGGGGACACCCCGTCTCTCATCAGCTGGCCCTCCAGGTACCAGAGCTTGTGGTTTTGTGGCTGATTCTGACCTAATATTCGGTTGCTGGAACCCAAATTTAACCACTGGTTGATGTAACACACTAAACCACAGAACTGGGAAAGCCCCAAAGCATCACATCTGTTTATTTTGAATATCTCTTACCACAAACTTACTGCACAACTAATCAATCAGACACGCATCTAATTCATTGATATTTGTCATCATTTGTTAATCTTGATCATAACATGATTGTTTTGTGGGCATTACCTCATTGGTCTCCGGGACCACCGGGAATTAACAAAACATACCCTTGCAGTGGGCTGCGCCTGCACTGCAAGAGTTAGTGCTTGTTTTGACTAGGGGGCTCAAATGAAGTAGATATACTCACCTAGTTCTTGGTCCCACAGCTCTCCCCTTTCTCCCCCTCCACTCTGGCTGTGTAATGTCTCTTGTCCTCACATCTAATGCAAGTCAGTGGACCTGCATTAGATGTGATGTCTGTTGTCCTTAGATCGCTGGAGCCCAGGAGAGGAGGAGCTCTTCCAGCCAGAAGGGACCAAGTGAATCTGCTTTATTTGAGTGCCCTAGACAAAATGAGGACTTAACCCTTGCAGTGCAGGGTAGCCCCATTGCAGCAAGTTAAAAAAGAAAATTGTTCTTTAAGTTATTTTTTTTAAACCTCTTTTAAATAGAAGATAAATGGGTTTATTCAGTAAGGTAGTATAGCAACCTGCCAGAATTTAGATATGTTTCCTGAACTTTGGCACTTGTTTCCACTACCTAAATAGAACCCTCGTGAGACCCCCCCAATTAAATGGTTCATATGGTTTGATTGGTTAAATACCAACAAAATGGCAGTTCTCAGCATCAGTACTAAAAAACATAAGGTCTTCAACCAGTGAACCTTCAATGAAGATGCATGAGCAGTCTGGTTGGCCAAGGTTCCTTGACATCTAATGGCCAAGGTTCCCGCACCATCTTGGGCTGCTTTGTGGGAATCAGGGTCCATGCTGACTAGTCTGGCTTTGCCACACTGCAGTCAGGAACACCTGCAGGTCAATTCCCAAGAGCTTCTTCTGTTGTGTAGGGGGCTTAAAATCTAGACTATGAAATATTAGCACACGCAGAGAACATCTGTAAAGGGAACTTGTATTGGGTAGAATATGGGTACTGCCATTGATGACTTATTTAGTATGGTGCCTGCTACAGGGCTTTCATCCTTGTCCTTCCTAAAGCTGACCATACACTGTAATATTTTCTTCATTAAACCTGCAGGCTGAACGAAAAATATTTGATTCCTCAGTCAAGCGTTGATTGTGGAAGCTCCTGCTGTTTGCATTGTAGTCTGACGGTGGTCGCCGACTTCTTATCAGAATACCTGAACAGAGCCTGCAGCTCCTTGGCTGCCCACTCTGTTTGTTCGAAGATTTTCTGACTGGCTCCTTCAATCAGTTGATTGAAGGGTGCCGACAGCGGCACTCACTGTGCGATTTTTGGCCGGTTCATCAAGAATTTGGCCGAAATTCACATAGTGTATGGCACTGGAGCCTGATCTTACAGATTTGTTTAAGTATAGAGCAGGGGTAGGCAAGATCCAGCTGTAGTGCAAGTATAAATCACATTAGGCATTCCAAGTCTCTGGAGGGCCAGCGTTTGCCTACCCCGGTATAGAGCATTTGGAGCAATACATATAGGTGCTGACTAGCAGGCATATTTACTGCACATTAATCATTGCCTTGTTCACTAAGCCCCCAATGTTATTGTTTTGGTTGTGACATAAGCTTCATTTATGAGTGAGATGTTTTCTGATTTGTTTTAAATTCTTTTAGCAGGGGTTGGAGAAATCTAAGCGAGACCGGTAACTACCGTGTCTAAAACTGAGAGGCGTTTCCAAAGTAGACTCTCTTGGTGTCAATGCAAGTACAATCCAGGAGCTATCATAGATATTTCGGTGACTGGCTCCCACATATTACATTCAGTTATCTAACTCTGCTTCTAGTATCCGCTTACAGAAGCATCAATTCAAGCCCAATTTTTCACTAAGAGGTCCCCAGCATGCATACAGTTACAGCTAAATGTATCTGAAATTCAGCTAGGACTGCATCTGGGAGTGAAGACCGGCTCCCTTCAATATATATTGTAAAGACTGATCGTCAGACTATATCAGTCATTGCTTAAGCATTGGATAAGATTTTGGAAATAAAGGGAATTTGTGGTCTTCGTCTGGTGTACAGCATTGTCTAAAGCTGGTCATACACCAGTAGAATTTTGTTAATGTATCAAATTGACAATCGAAGATTAAAAAAAATGAAAAAAAACCCCAAAGGAACAAGATAAAACATTTTTCTGACACTAGGTTTTCAGTTGAAAAACTATTCATTTTCAAAGTCAAATGCTAAAATAAGATTAAATTTCGTTTTGACATACCACAAGTCTCTGATGGCATCGTACAAGAATCTACCAGATTATGGGCAGTTTAAAGCTGCATCATAACCATCTCTAAGATTAGACTACAGTCCTCCTATGTGACAGGGTTCCAGATCATAGACTATGATATTCAGGTCTCAGGCAGAACCCCCAGTCTACAGTAATCTTTCAGCTATTAAGTAGGTGTCTAAAGGAATAGAAAAATGTAAATGTAATTGATACCTCCTTTACAATTGCATATATGTTCATATTTGTGCCCTGTAATGTTTCCTTTGCAGTGTTCCCCCTGCAGGGGAAGTAAGACCAGGAAATGGAAGGTTGTGTGAAAGTTTGTGGTTTCACAGTTGGATTTGTGGTTGTTGGGTGGGTTTTAGCCAACCACAGGTCGAACCCCCCCTTTTTTTATAGTTTAATTTCTTATGAAGAACAGGAGAGATGTGAAAGCTTGCCGTTGTTCACGGTTTACCAATAGACAACCTACAGGGTATCCTAAAGCAAGGCTGGAAGGTTTTCTTCTATTTATAGATCTTGTAGAACACTGATACCTAAATGCAGATAGTTTACTGATGACTCCTTTTTTGGGGGATTTTTTTTTTACTTTTAAGCGTATAAAGAAATGTATAGTGTGGTATTGTATGTGGCCTGTTTGAAGTGATTTGGACTACTCCTAAGCCCCAGTTCCTTTAACTGGCTGGATTTCTGTTTCCATTAAACACAGATCACATATTTTTTTTTTTTTTATGGGCACCCAAGGTACGTTAGCACAGCTGCCAATGGATGTAAGTTGGTTTACTTTTATACAACTGGGATGCTTTTTAACCTTCGTCTGGCCTTGATTGCCTTGTGTTCATCTTTACGTATGGCTCCAAATGTAAGAAAACATCTTCTGTGCAGGATGAGAGCTTATTTGTTAAACTCTATGCCCAGCCTAAGCTTCTTGTTTTTGTATAGATTGGGAAAGGATTAGAATCTGTTGGGTTTTAGTTCTGTTAGCCCTTATTCACTGGGGGCCTCCTGCATTTGCTTAATTTAAATGCATGGAAGTTGATCTGAGAAGTATAAAAAAAACTTTATACCTCCCAGATCAAGTTCTATGTTGAAGGGTAGTTGTGTTTTACATGCATTTAGAAGCGTGCACAGTGTTTGTACTACCTGTCTTAACGCATCACACAGTATTGCGGCATCACATGTTGCGCTGCAATGCACGATGGCCAGCAGGTGTGCTGGGGTGCCATTCAAATGAATGGTAACACATTATGTGCACTGGGCGATAGCATGCATTAATTGCTCTGTATTGTGCGGTTAATGCAACGCTATGGTGTGACTCAGCCCTTGAAATCATTATATGCATTTATATGTGTTTAGAAATGTTATGTGCATAACTGCATATAATCGTGTGCCTGTGTAAATGAGGCGCAAGAGAGATTTCCTCTCATTGAAATAATATAGAGCTAAAATCTGTTGTAACTGTGTAACACGAGACATTTTTCACACCACCTCATAACAAATGCTAAATATAGGTTTTAGAATTCAAATCAACTGTTCTGCTTATTAACCTCTAATTTTAGCTGCTAAGAGTATATTTTACCTGACTCTTTCACAAGTGATATCTATTATTTGTTCCAAGAGATGTAGCTTAAAGTGTACGTAAACCCCAACAATGTACTTTACTTATTTGCTTTCTTTTAGTCTGTTTAACTATACCATTGAAAGTGTTTAGTTATCTGTTTGACAAATACAAGAAATACCTGTTGATTCTGCCAGAAATCCAGTGAGCTTCTAACTTCCTGTTTGCACTTCCAACACCGTGCCTCTGTGGCACTGAACTCCCAAGGAGTCTCATCAGTCCTGCCCAGTTCAAGAGAATATATTCATTCATGTTATTAAAAGTGGGAGATGTTATGTAGTCCAAATCAGGAGAGCCTAGGGTGACGAAGTTGCTCCTCCATAGAAACATAGTGAATGAGCATTGTTACCCTAGGATAAGAGGTTTGTTACTGACGGGATCACCAGGTAAAAAATCCATAAAAAAACGGAATCTGTAGCCACTACATCGAAGGACTGGTAAGCTGCAGTATATTGCATTTTTATTCTTGGGTTTAGATACACTTTAAGTATATTACATTATGCAAGTTATGCCGATTGTTTTGCACCCATCGTATACAGCACCTCAAAAGGTCTTTATTTCCTAAATCACCTCTTCCTGTAACCACTAACAGCCAATCCTTTACTTTGCCTTAAAGTGACACTAAACTCAGGAGGTAAACCTTAAAAATATGTTCAAGTACCTTAACTATTAACAAAAATGTATCTTGTGTATCACTGGGCTGTAGATCCTCAAATCATTTCGGAATGGGTGCTGACACTGTCCTTCCTTCTGGAGGGTGGCTACTTTTATTCCCCATGGTCCCTGTGTGTGTTTATAAAGTAGCCGCCACTCCGTGCTGGCTGCCGTGATGGGCTACAATGTCACGTTCATTTTGCTAATTTGTATTGAGATTGTAGTCAATCACTGGAGCGAGCTTGGAGCGGTGACTACTTTACAACACACAAAGGGACCATGGGGAACAAAAGTAGCCACCCTCCAGAAGGATGGACAATGTCAGCACCAATTCAGAAATGATTTGAAGATCTACAGCCGAGCGATACACAAATACGATACATTTTTGTTAATAGTTAAGGAATTTGAATGTTTTTTTAAGTTTTAACTCCTGAATTTAGTTTACCTTTAAATCACTTTCATAGACGCTTCTGTGCATTGTGCTCTAGAATTCTAATTACTTTTCTTTTTTAAAGAGTTAAAATTAGAGAGAGGCTGGTGAGAGATGAAAACATGCATGGGAGTCCAAAACCCAATACAGACACCGCAACTCAAAAGCAACATCACGCTGCTCCGACCTACTATGTGCCTTTTCAGTCTGAAAACTCTGCCTTTGATAGGGTCTATAAACAGCCAACTCCATACCGCCAACCGTTGCACGGCTTTATCCAGCCTGCCAATGCCGCTTATGCACCAAAAATTGTTTCTCGGACTCAGTCGGACAATGTCATGGTTTCAGCATTCACTACCTCCTTGAAAAATCCTCGAGCTATTAGTGATGTGAACATTGAGAAGTCTCGTCAGATTAATCATGGTGTGACCAGCACTCTTCAGCCCTTCAAACTGGGGAATAGCACTGGTAAACTATATAACCCGTTAGATGAAACGCCAACGTATATATCCTCACATGACAACAGGCATCGTCACAAAGAAAGGCTGGAGCCGAAAGATCAACTGATGCATGTTTCACCGATTGTTCCGCCTCCAAAGAGATCCGCTGAAATTGTAGGAAAAAGTGAAGCCACCATGTATCTACATAGCGGAACGATTGTACCTCCATCCAGACCCCAAGGCCAAACTAAAGAGGTCTCAACCATGAAACACAGGATGCTTGTACGCTCAATGTCAGACTCGACAGGCACTCAGAATATGGAAGCCTTGAAGATTACGTCTGAAGTGCAAAATGAGATGGTATTTTTAGGCACCGAAGACGTTGCCAATGGGGAAGCTGGTACGGTCAACACTAAGGTGTCTGTGGCTCAGCTCAGGAGTGCATATTTGGAGACTGCAAACTCAAGCAAAAGAGTTGACCAGTGGGTGACTTTTGCAAGTTTTTGTTTCATTCCTTGTGTGACTCCCTGCACGCCCTTACCTTGTTGCACAGTGTTTTCTAAAGATGTACTTGTTTCACATTGTAGTGTTAACTCAAAAATTAGTTTTTTATTCTCACTCTTGCATGCTGTTTGAGTTCTTAAAATTACATTTGTGATTTTAAAAAGTTCTCTTTTTTTTCCTTTTATCTTATCTCCTCCTCCTTTTTTTTCCCTTCAAATAACCTACATCTTGGTTACAAAGTGTACCTAAGGCTGAAATGCCAATGCCATGTGTTGATTTGGGTGCTGCCAATGAGCGGGAAAAGGGCCCTCGAAAGCCAAGACTGTATTTCTCACCCGGGGACAGTAGAAAGACCTCTGAAAGATTTAGAACTCAACCAGTTACTTCAGCTGAGAGAAAAGAAACGGATAGGTAGGCACTGGAATGCAAAGCCAAAGCCGTATACACGAACTGACTGGAGATATCCACTAGGCTTGGAATAGCATGGCACTATGGATGGGCAGCAGTCTGGTGTTTCAAGCTTTATTTTATTTTTTGCTTGGCATTTGGAGCCTCTGAGCCTAAACCTAGAAAGCTTCACTTGTTAACTCATGCATTTTATTATGATTTTATACTATTGAATGTTTTATTTTACTTGGTGTGGTTTTGTGCCCACGTGAATCTAAATTCTCACAACTGACACGCAAACTGTACAGCTGCGTTCTGTCTAGTTACTGTTTCTAGTCTTGCGTGTGTTTTGCATACATGTAACTTTGCAGTCCATTTGAAAACAAACAGTTTGGTAATTGTGTCCTATCTTCCACAGGACAACGTTCCATCCACCTGTGCAAACAGCTGAAGGCAAGTGTTTTTTGTTGTCTGTCCAACTTCAAATTTATTTTATTTGAGTCATTGATGTGTGCTGCTTTTGTTGGGTTTTGTGTGTATTGTCGCCATCAGGTAGTGTACTTCTCCACCTTTTGCTAACTTATTCTAGCACTTTGCTGTAAATTGGCTCTACAGGCAGTCCCCAAGTTGCATACATCCGACTTGCATATGACTCCTACTTACAAACGGAGGGTATTACTGTACAGCAGGGGTAGTTGTAATGCTACTGCACTCATGCAGACGAGGAGTGCCCGCCTTTTTGGGTCTGGTTCGTAGTACTGTATGAACATTACAGAAGTTGGCTCTTGTTAGACGTGCAGACGAGGGGTGCCTGCCTCTTCTTCTGAGTCACTGTGTGGTTTTTACTGCTGTCTGTATCCTTTATTAGAAAGATTTAATCTCACTTCCTGTCCTTGAGACAGCAGGAAATGAGAGGAAATCTAGCCCTAGGAAGAGAATTCCACTCCTGTAACAGTTATCATGGGAAAAAGGTGTCTCCACTGAAGCTTTATCACCCATCCTTGTTTCCACGACAACCCAACATTTTCAAAATCCCATTGTCACAGGGACAGAAAGTGAGGTGAAATTTTCTGAACAGGGACACACACATCAGAACAAACTTTACAGGGAGTTAACCCTTCCCTATTCTATCCAAAACAAAAAATTTGGCTGGTACACTTAACATTTTTTACCTGTTCCAACTTGCATACAAATTCAACTTACGAACAAACCTACAGACTCTATCTTGCTCATAACCCAGGGACTGCCTGTAATGTCATCTTTTTAAAACACGTGGTGTTAGGTCCGCGGTGTGGGCCCGAGATGATGAGGAGGACCTCCCTTAAACCCGACACGTGGAGCTAAATGAGTCAGAGGGACATACCGCCTCTTTACCACCAATTTATAGGACCTGAGGTTTCAGAGAGATGAGAGAGAGAAAGTGAACAATAGCTTCTGCATTTGTAAAATATTTTATGGGATGTAAAATATAAATGGTCAGTTTATAAACATCCAGAACATGCAAATAAAAATGACTTAAAAACCATTATAGTTTCTCCAAGTATACTTCTTGGCCATGCTGAAATGTTTAAAAATTCCGTATTGAGTAGTACAGTGGACAGAAAAACCTTGTGTGCCTCTGACTATAAATTCATTCTCTTACTAATGGCATGACTTCCCTGATTTTGGGGCTGAGCCATACCTACCTATCATATGCCTGTCCAATGAGAGTCCCTTTTGGTTGCAGAAGCACTCTGAGGAGAGGGATGGCACGTGATTTGTTGCTTGAAGGGGCCTCAGTTTAGCCCTGAAGTCAAGAAAGTTGATCTCATAGTAACAAAGTGAAACCAGTATCAGGGGAGCGCTTCTTAGAAAATGTATTATTGCCTTTTCTAAAACCGGAGATCACTCATTGGTTACAGATATGATTCTACTGAAAATCCCTGCAAGTGATAACAAGCACCCACATACAAATTCCTGGAATGCCTTCTCGCAAGCTGTTCCCAAAGTGGTCATACTAGTTGCAAATAAATATTGTGCAATGTGTGGATGATATCTTGAAGGGGAGCTGCACTGATGGATCTTATCCCCTATATACTGACTTTTTTTGTTTTCAGCAGTGGGTGCAGTTCATACCTGTGTACTTTGGCAATCCTTTCCCATTGAAATGTGATGTGGCCTCATTGACCTCTACACTTTTTTTTTTTTTTTTCTTTTGACCTGAAAAGGTATACATACAATGAATGCAAATCACACACCAAATACACCTCAGTGTTTCTAAAACTACACTGGTAAAAAAACAAACAAATGTAAACTATAATGGATCCATATCTGACAAGCAATTCAGAGTAGAAATTGGTATTGAACAAAAGGAAATCTATTGTTATCCTAGGACGTAAGATAGCTGAGATGTCTCCAGTACTCAGGGATGATCATAGACCTTAGGCAAATTTCCCCCTTCCTGGCTTGATTCATCCAATATTTATATGTCCTTCTCTCTGTGTCCAATTATTCTTTCATTTTCCTTCTATGATTACAGAGGAGACAAAAGTGGACGAAAGGGCAAAGCTGAGTGTAGCTGCGAAAAGGCTTCTTTTTCGGGTAAGTATATACTCCCTCGTGGTATTTATGCGGGATTAATACTTTTTGCAGTTTTGTACAAAATATTTTTTTTCATTTGCATTCATTATTGAAGATGCTTTGATTAAATAGCAATAAAGGACTTGGGAATAGTGCCAGCAAAGAAAGGTTATGTCCTTAATGAAAACTTTTTATCTGAATGGTTTAATTCATTCCCTCGGAAAACAGATTGCATTGCTCGTAGGCCAGGGTTAACATAGCATGCTCATGGCTCCTTGTTTTACTGATCTGTAATTTGCTTTGATCTTTGGAGAAAAAAGAGGTAAAACGTCTGCAAAAACTATTAAGTGGTCCTCTGTTGCTTGGCATTTAGGGGTCTTTTTCAACTAGGGCAAATGCAGTGTTACAAACATAAAGTTTACTTCAGAATAAAATAAACTGCATGTACAATTTTTTTTTTCAATCTTACTGAATTGCATGGCATCACGGTACCGTATGTTCCAGTGCGGGCGATCACACTGTGGGTGGGAGTCACGTTTGGGGTGCCATGAAATAAAAAAAATGGCACTGCAACGCACCTCTTGCAGCAGAATTTTGTCAGGCTGAAACCGAAAATTGACTTTTTTCCCCCCACCTTTTTTATATATATATATATAATATAAACAGTCAATAGGCTGGCTATTGCACCCGTCCTCTGCTTGCTGTGCCCTCCCAGCATGGAGGAGAGAGCTAGGGGATCCAACCCACTAATCGATAATGAGAATAGTTGGCAACGATTAGTTGGTTGCAGCCTTATTTTCAACGCAGTCTGACAAGATATAGGAAGAAGGATTTAAAGATTTTTCTCCTAAAGAATGTCATGTAGGTTAAAAATATTGCACATGAAGGTATCTATAGAAGTTTTATAGATGGAGTCTCGGAGAATAGATGGGCTTTTAGAAGGGAAATAAATTCCTTTGTTCCAGTTTTGTTTAATGTGTTGTGGTGCATTATTTATAACTGGTAGGGTAAATTTAGTTTTTATAAGTGGCTAAACTCATATCTTAAATGCTGTTTAATATATATTGTGTGTGTATATATATATATATATATATATATATATATATATATATATATACACACACAATATATATTAGTGTGTGTGTGTGTGTATATGTATGTAATTTTTTGTTTGTGTTTTCCTTGAGTGCTGTAGGTTATTTAACGAGCGAGTACAGCAGTAGTTATCCGATTGGATCCCTACAGAGGGAGGGATAGAGAGGTTGAGGAATCGCAGCTCTGTATTATTTACCTGTATGTGTAAATTTCAGCTTGAACTAATGAGCTTTGTAAACTAGGGCTGCAACAATTAATTGATCAATCGATAATTGATTAGGACGGTAGTTGGCAACTATTCTCATGAGCGAGAGGATTTTTTTAATGCAACCAATCGATTAGTTGGAAAAATAATCGGGCAACTAATCGATTATAAAAATAATCGTTAGCTGCTGCCCTACTGTAAATTCTTTTAGCAAAGCAGATTAGGATAGCCTACACCAGGCCTCAAAATTTCCACTCGCCCCCTTGCAATTAGAAAATGCAAATGCTGTAAGTTCCATCCAGAGCCGGAGCTAGCTCTCTGCGCTCCCTCTCTTTCATCCCGGCCGCTTGAGCTCCACTCAGATTACACCCGTTATCGCTCCCTCTCTCTCCTTCTGGCCGCTCTGCAGCGGCCGGGAGCAGAGAGAGGGAACGCTGACAGGTTTGATCGTAGCTGCCTCTGAGTGCCCGCTTCCTGGAGCTGAAGCTGGAGCGGTCGGGAGAAGAGTTGATCGTTCAGCGGTGTGATCAGAGCATTCTTAAAGAGCCCCTCTCCCAGTCCACATATTTTGGACATTATGAATCTGAATTGCCCCACTCAGTATGCCCCTCGCTTGCGGCCATATTGAGTGGGGCACTCATATTAAGAACGTGCTATTGACCTCTGTACTGTGCGTCACACCCTGATCACTGCACGTCACATTGCTGGCCTCTGCACTGCACGCCACATTGCTGGCCTCTGCACTGCACGTCACATTGCTGGCCTCTGCCCTGCAAGTCACATTGCTGGCCTCTACACTGCAAGTCACATTGCTCGCCTCTGCACTGCAAGTCACATTGCCGGCCTCTGCACTGCAAGTCCCATTGCTGGCCTCTGCACTGCACGTCACATTGCTGGCCTCTGCCCTGCAAGTCACATTGCTGGCCTCTACACTGCAAGTCACATTGCTCGCCTCTGCACTGCAAGTCACATTGCCGGCCTCTGCACTGCAAGTCCCATTGCTGGCCTCTGCACTGCACGTCACATTGCTGGCCTCTGCCCTGCAAGTCACATTGCTGGCCTCTACACTGCAAGTCACATTGCTCGCCTCTGCACTGCAAGTCACATTGCCGGCCTCTGCACTGCAAGTCCCATTGCTGGCCTCTGCACTGCACGTCACATTGCTGGCCTCTGCCCTGCAAGTCACATTGCTGGCCTCTACACTGCAAGTCACATTGCTCGCCTCTGCACTGCAAGTCACATTGCCGGCCTCTGCACTGCAAGTCCCATTGCTGGCCTCTGCACTGCACGTCACATTGCTGGCCTCTGCCCTGCAAGTCACATTGCTGGCCTCTACACTGCAAGTCACATTGCTCGCCTCTGCACTGCAAGTCACATTGCCGGCCTCTGCACTGCAAGTCCCATTGCTGGCCTCTGCACTGCACGTCACATTGCTGGCCTCTGCCCTGCAAGTCACATTGCTGGCCTCTACACTGCAAGTCACATTGCTCGCCTCTGCACTGCAAGTCACATTGCCGGCCTCTGCACTGCAAGTCCCATTGCTGGCCTCTGCACTGCACGTCACATTGCTGGCCTCTGCCCTGCAAGTCACATTGCTGGCCTCTACACTGCAAGTCACATTGCTCGCCTCTGCACTGCAAGTCACATTGCCGGCCTCTGCACTGCAAGTCCCATTGCTGGCCTCTGCACTGCACGTCACATTGCTGGCCTCTGCCCTGCAAGTCACATTGCTGGCCTCTACACTGCAAGTCACATTGCTCGCCTCTGCACTGCAAGTCACATTGCCGGCCTCTGCACTGCAAGTCCCATTGCTGGCCTCTGCACTGCACGTCACATTGCTGGCCTCTGCCCTGCAAGTCACATTGCTGGCCTCTACACTGCAAGTCACATTGCTCGCCTCTGCACTGCAAGTCACATTGCCGGCCTCTGCACTGCAAGTCCCATTGCTGGCCTCTGCACTGCACGTCACATTGCTGGCCTCTGCCCTGCAAGTCACATTGCTGGCCTCTACACTGCAAGTCACATTGCTCGCCTCTGCACTGCAAGTCACATTGCCGGCCTCTGCACTGCAAGTCCCATTGCTGGCCTCTGCACTGCACGTCACATTGCTGGCCTCTGCCCTGCAAGTCACATTGCTGGCCTCTACACTGCAAGTCACATTGCTCGCCTCTGCACTGCAAGTCACATTGCCGGCCTCTGCACTGCAAGTCCCATTGCTGGCCTCTGCACTGCACGTCACATTGCTGGCCTCTGCCCTGCAAGTCACATTGCTGGCCTCTACACTGCAAGTCACATTGCTCGCCTCTGCACTGCAAGTCACATTGCCGGCCTCTGCACTGCAAGTCCCATTGCTGGCCTCTGCACTGCACGTCACATTGCTGGCCTCTGCCCTGCAAGTCACATTGCTGGCCTCTACACTGCAAGTCACATTGCTCGCCTCTGCACTGCAAGTCACATTGCCGGCCTCTGCACTGCAAGTCCCATTGCTGGCCTCTGCACTGCACGTCACATTGCTGGCCTCTGCCCTGCAAGTCACATTGCTGGCCTCTACACTGCAAGTCACATTGCTCGCCTCTGCACTGCAAGTCACATTGCCGGCCTCTGCACTGCAAGTCCCATTGCTGGCCTCTGCACTGCACGTCACATTGCTGGCCTCTGCCCTGCAAGTCACATTGCTGGCCTCTACACTGCAAGTCACATTGCTCGCCTCTGCACTGCAAGTCACATTGCCGGCCTCTGCACTGCAAGTCCCATTGCTGGCCTCTGCACTGCACGTCACATTGCTGGCCTCTGCCCTGCAAGTCACATTGCTGGCCTCTACACTGCAAGTCACATTGCTCGCCTCTGCACTGCAAGTCACATTGCCGGCCTCTGCACTGCAAGTCCCATTGCTGGCCTCTGCACTGCACGTCACATTGCTGGCCTCTGCCCTGCAAGTCACATTGCTGGCCTCTACACTGCAAGTCACATTGCTCGCCTCTGCACTGCAAGTCACATTGCCGGCCTCTGCACTGCAAGTCCCATTGCTGGCCTCTGCACTGCACGTCACATTGCTGGCCTCTGCCCTGCAAGTCACATTGCTGGCCTCTACACTGCAAGTCACATTGCTCGCCTCTGCACTGCAAGTCACATTGCCGGCCTCTGCACTGCAAGTCCCATTGCTGGCCTCTGCACTGCACGTCACATTGCTGGCCTCTGCACTGCAAGTCACATTGCAGGCCTCTGCACTGCAAGTCACATTGCACGTGAATGGAGTATCGAGCTCCACCTGCTGGTTGGATAATAGAACATAATAATCATATGCAATATTTGGCATTTACTTTAAAGTAAAGAAAAAAAAATTGCACTTAGTCCTAACCTTGATAAATAAAGAAAACATGTATAAAACACCATTATATTCTCTTTATAGTGGTCTGCAGATGCGTGTCCTATAACCAGGGTTTCATTTGTGCTTAGCTGAATGGTGTCTGTGTTTTTCCTGAACATAGACCTTTTTTTTTCTTTTAACTCCCCTCCTAAATCAACCTTATTAGAGCAAAGTTTGTAATTCTGTCCAGGCACAATTGTGATTTTCAACTTTAAGAATACAATGTTGTGCTTGAAGAAAAATAAGTGAACTGGAATTACCTTAGGATTCCTTTGTGCGTGTTGAGTGCATTGTTCTGTTCTTTTGTGTGTGTGTCTTGTACTGCCCAAGTTTTTTTATTTCTATCTTTATTTAATAAGGCTCTTAGGTTGTGTACTTGTGCCAACAAACTCTGTATAATCCGGCTGCAGAAAGTAATGGGATTTCTGGGTAACCACTGATGAAGTCATGTGCTTAAACTGCAGTTTGTCCCATTAACATCTCTTTCCATTGTTTCCTTTCAATTGCAGGAGATGGAAAAATCTGTAGACTCTAAAGCCCCTAAGCCACGTGCTCGAAACTCAGCCATAGAGAGGCGGCTTCGTCGTGCGCAAGACAGGTCCCGCACTCAGCCTGTGACTACAGAAGAAGTGGTGATCGCCACAACGTAAGTGCTGGCACAGTGCAAGTGTGCTTCTGCTGCTCTTAGATTCTAGGCTGCTCTCCCAGTGTATTAGCTAGGGAAGTATGAAGTACTTGTAGCACAAGGACCTGGGCACTTCATATCCTGTCTGCCAGAATGATGGATAACTGAACACCATGTTTGCAAAGGGGATTGAGACATGAATCACTTCAGTTGTGCTGTAGTATAGTTTTTTTTCCAGGAAAATACATCATTATTTTTTTTCTCTGTAACCCAAATAAAGTATAAGCTGCAGGATCTGGAATTTGGCATATTGTGGCTACACAGCAATTAAAAGGAGACTTAGATGAAAAGTGGTCAAGTCTTTATGATATTAACCCTTCTCTATATATTTTGCTACTTAAGGGAAACTTACAACAAGCAATACCTGAGCTTTGCGACTTTCCTTTAGGTGACCTCTGTAGCTGCAGGTACTGTGGAGCAATTCCTCCCCAAAATTTACTGCAACACAATAATTTTGTATTTTATTTTTGTCCTATGCCAGCTTCTCTCCTGCCCCAGCTGCTTTCTAGTCTTTAATGTAAACAGTGCAGGATCTCTGGGCAAGGGGAGCAGGATGAACTTTGCTGAGACAGCAGACTTTAGAGACTTTAGTGCTGCTTCTGTGAAATGCGAAGGTGAACTGCTGCACAGTATCTGCAGCTACAGATGTCAATGGGGACTTGTTTTAAAGCTCATTTACTGCTTAAGGATATGCAAATACTTGATAGTCTATAGACTGGCCACAGGTGCACTTTAGAGGTAAATTTTAATTTGGACATATTGGTCTTTTGAAGACTACATTTTCTTTCGGGGAGGATCACAGTGTGACCAGACTGCAGGGTATTGTGGCGACCAGACTGCAGGGTATTGTGGCGACCAGACTGCAGGGTATTGTGGCGACCAGACTGCAGGGTATTGTGGCGACCTTTTCAAGTTAGACAGACAGCAGTCATGTGCTAGACACTGTTATTTTTAGAAGGAAGTGAAGGAGTTGCCTGTACCAACCTAAATATAATGCAAGTTTTCATTTTCTAACCTGCGCCAGACAAATGACAAGCAGAATGCTTTGTGCCATTTATGGAGGGAAGTACACGCATTGCTGGGGAGAAGAACATTGTAATGATTTTCACTGAGTTTGCAGCATATATGAGAAATCATGCGCATGGGTTGGTGCAAACCTAGTTGGCCTGACTTCACTCAAACCTATGCAAAACCCCCTCCTGGGCCAATCAGTACTGCAGGGGGATCCTCCTCCCCTTTGTGACATGTAGCTGCACAGTAGGGAATGCCCCTGCCATGACTGATTGGCCTGGGAATGGGGTATGTCTTTGCCAGGCTTGGGTGAATTGGGTTCAAACCAAGCCCCGGCTCATCACTTATGAGAAGGGGATATAATATTTGTTTTATAAAATTACATATCTAGCTCTATATAATTTTATAATCAGATCACATTTGAAGTTTTATGTAATGAGCCTTCCAAAATGAGTGTTTTATAAGGTAATGCACGTGACAATGTTTCTTCTGTTATGTAACATGTAGGGTTGTCAGCTTCTCCTATTTCAGCTTTATTATTCCTCTATATATCTGGTTCCTTTGTATTTCACTTTGAGGGAACATTGGACATTTTATATTTTGACATGCTGTTTAAAAGGGTACAACCAAGTAGATACACAGATACATACAATATATGTGAATGCTGCTTTTGTGATTCACATACCTCCGATATTATTCAATGCCTGTAGTTCCTGCTTTAACTCCTCTGTAGCCTTTGTACTATACTACAAGTAGATATCACTCCACTGATTAGGTCCTCCTCATCCTCACCTATCCTTTACTGACCATCTCTTCAGCCCCCAGACACTACTGTGCAATGCAATATAGCTTTATTTACTTACAATACTGACACTCCCACTTTCGACCAGGAATTTTGTTTCAGTTGCATCCAGTCTCCTCATTGGGGGGTGGGTTTCGTCTCAATTCCTTTTCTATATCACACCTTTCCAATAGGCAGGTGAAAGGCAAGGAGGTACCCCTCCAAATGTGGACAAAAGCAGTCAAAATCCTTCCCCAATCTATACAAAATGGAGAACAAAATTGAGTGTAGTTGATCTTTAAAATAGGTAATTGTGCAATTTACAGTTGTTTCTGATTAAAGCCCATCTCCGGGGTGGGGTAGGGGGGTGACTCCTCTTCTAGTGGGGCTGCCCCCGCACAGCAAAGGTTAACCCCTTAGTGACACATCATCAAAAAAAAAAAAATTTCTGGGGACCAGAGCAATTTTGCCACGTGTTTAACCATAATTTTCATCTTGCTCATTCATCTTCCTCATTCATTGCACCTACACATTATATTCCGTTTAAAGGACAAAAAGAAAAAATGGGGGGGAAAAAAATTTTCAGTTTTGGGAAAATGAATGTGTACATAATTTGTGTAGCTAACAGTAATTCATAACAAATTATTTTAATTGTCCTAATTCATAGGGTACTGTATATCATATGTCTGGGATTTCAGTTTATTTTGGGAGTTATAGGTTATGAATTACAAGGAGTGAAATACAATTTTAGTTTGGAACATTTTAAGAATGTGGTATGTTTCTCCTATCTTTTATTAGCCTCCTTAGCAGTACATTTTCTTATAATATTTTTATTAAATGTATTTTTTTGTTTTTTTACTTTAAAACTTTGCTTTTTTTATAAAAATGTTAAAATTTTATTTTTAAATTGTATTTTTTATCAAACTACGGGGGCACCAAGGGGTTATTTTTTTTAATTTACGGGGGCTTTGATACTTAGTATATATGAGGATAAGAAAGTATTCTCCTCCAGAGATATTATGCATCAGTTTGTAACACACAGCCAGCTCGCAGCTGCACAACACAGTGAGCTGCTGCTGGTTTTGTGGCTGCCACGGCTCTGTGATAACAGATCAGCTATCATTGTGATCAAAGTGATGTGACCACCTAATCTGCTGTTGAGGGTCTGCCTCGGACCCCAAGGGACCCATCAACAGCTTAATGAGTTCTGGTCCCTCCATGGACTAACGCTAATTGTACCGCATGAGGGGATTATCCCATCACTGGTCGTTAACTGAACGATCGTGATGGTATAATCTCCTCATCGGTCGGGAAGGGGTTAATTGCTCATTTAAGTGCAGAATCCCTGGGTAAAGCAGTTTTACTTACCTGCCAGGGGAGATGGAAAGGTGACAGTCACTTCATTTCTCCTACAGACCAGCTTGTGCTCTGTCCATATAATGGAGGTCTGTGGTACATGCATTAAATTTGATGGCGCCAGCAGGCCTTCAACTGCAGTATTATAGAGGGGAAGGGGCTGGGAGCCTTAAGCTGCCCATACACCTATAGATTATCTGCAGATTTCCTATGGTCAGATGGAAAAAGTGCAACAGATTCCATCTACGCTAAACTGTGTGGATGGAGGAATCTCCCACTGGGCCAAGCTTCAGAATCTTGCTAGTCGGGTCCGCTAGCTCTCAAAATACCTGAACAATGTCTGCATCCAATCCGATTGTTCAGGTATTTTGAGAGCCAGTGGGGCTGACTAGCAAGATACTGAAGCTTGGCCCAGCGGGAGATTCCCCCATCCACACAGTTTAGCATAGATGGAGGAATCTGTTGCATTTTTTCCGTCTGACCATAGAAAATCTGCAGATAATCTATAGGTGTGTGGCCAGCTTTAGTCTTGCAGCCTGCGGGAGCGGGGACCAGGTAAGTGAAAGTCCTTTTACACAAGTACCCTAAGCTTTAAGTGTATTTCCACTTTCGCAGCCAAATTGGGATAACCTCTATTCTATATTTGGTACAAGTACCCATTCACATAGCATACGCTTTAAAAAAAAAAAATGCTTCTTGCATTTTGAAAAGCTTTTACTTGGGATAGTGTTTTGAGGGTTTAACATGTCTTCTTGCTTCTATTTCTTTTAAATGTTAGGTGGGGCTGTGAGGGGTCTTGTCATTTCAGAGGTGGCTTAGCCATTTTATGTATGTAAGCTTATTAGATGAACACAATCCTCAAATTTCAGTCCCAAGACTTTCCATTGGGACAAACCACTGTAAAGGGGCTTAGAAAAACCTGGAATCCGCCATCTTGCCTGATTTAACAAAGCATATAAAAGGTAAGATTTTTTAATTATTTTGTTATTTTTCAGTACGCTGTGCAAATAGGAACATATGGAGGAGATTTCCTAAATTTGACTGCAAAAGTGGAAATACATTTTAAATGAGCAGTTAAACTTGCAGTGCCGGGACATTTCAATAAAGTTCTAACAAAAAGGTAAACCGTCCAATGCGCCGAAAACATAAGGGTGTACTCACACCAGCGGGCTGTGCATTGTATCGCAGCTGCTGGTGTGATGAACCCTTATTTTTTTCTCCGTGAATGGATGAATGCACCCTTATGGTTTCAGTGTATAAACTAAAGAATCTGGTTGCTATTGGTAACAGGTTTTTTTTTTCCCTTCAGAATGCTTTTCATTAAAGGGTCCTATACTACTTTTCATTTGGTGCTCACTTTTTGTTCTTCTGTCTCTCTTTTCGCATTCTTGAAGCAAGCCTAGCCCTGCTGCACACACAGTGACCACACACACAGCCAGCTCCAGCATCTCTAGCCCCTCTGTAACTAAGAGTACTGTGCAACGTATCAGGTACTACAGGGGAGCATCTTGCATGCGGAAACAGAGCAGCCATGCAATGCAGCAGATGCCTCATTAATAACACCTTTTCTAATAGCACCTGTTGCTTTCGGTTTCATACTAACACTTTGTCTATGGCAGCCGCATGGTATTTAATTGATGTGACACAATTAACTCCTAATAGGTTGCTTGTTCCTTTCTGCATAGTGATGTTTTGGACTTGTGCTGCCTTACTGTGAAACTGAGAAAGGTGACTTCTATTACTGCTATTCTTATACTCCAAAGATGCTTATTACAAATTCATATTATGGCTCAGCCTTTTCATGCTTTAATTGTTCCATAAACCCAGAATGGATGTTTTAGTTTTAGGTGAACTGTCGTACACTTCTATCAGCCAATGAATACATGAGAAATTATAGTGGGTTGTTTTGTGGCCCTTAAGCTGGCCATACACTGCTCAAATTTCAGATGAACCCAGCTGACTTGGCCGAAATTGAGGAGTATTTGGCCCCCTTGGGCCCCCAATCCCTTCAACCCACCCCTGCCTGTGCCTTGGTTCTTGGTTTAGTGCTGGGGTAATAAGCAAATATCACAGTAAGACATTAAGGTCTAATTGACGCTGGCTTCAGGTTGTATAAGAGTTAGGCTGGCACACACCTTACAACCATTGCAAGACTTTTGTCTTGCGATGGTTGTAAGGTAATTTAAAAAACGTACGATCTGCCCATCTTGGACAGGCAGGTCGTACTTGCAAAATAGATAATCCGCGCTTCTGTAAAAGAGACTAAAGTAGAAATATGTATTGTAAATTAAAACCTAAAGCAGCTCTAAAGGAGGATGAAAGAATCCTTTCAGCGATCGAGAAATATATATATCAAAGCGCTAAAGGTGTAAATAATATGAAACTTAGTGCAACCAGGTAATATAGTGAAATTAGGGTTTAAGCGGTCTAGCCTAAAACCAAGTGATCATGAAACAAAGGAAAAAATTAAATTAATAATTAAATTGTACTGTGGAAAACCAGATAATGATTAGGACAATAAAAGAATTCAACCACTGTGAAAAACATCAAATATATAACAATAATCATTTTTTCCTTTTGTTTCATGATCCTATGTAAGATACATCACTTGGTTTTAGGCTAGACCGCTTAAACCCTAATTTCACTATATTACCTGGTTGCACTAAGTTTCATATTATTTACACCTTTAGCGTTTTGATATATATATTTCTAGATCGTACTTATGATGATCGCAAGCCCGCCCTAGTCAGGGGCGGGCTTCCGATGACCGCAATGCCGAACGGGCAGTGTGCGCTTGCGCACACCGGCCCGTCCGGCTTTTATCTTACGAACATGCTACACACCCGCCGAAAATCGTATGATTCTCGGGGGGTTTTCGAACATGTTCGTAAGATAAAAGTCGTGCGACCTTACAGTAGTAGAGGTCGCACGGCTTCCACACACCTTACGATAATCGTACGATCGTGGGATTTCCAGCGATTATCGTACGATTATCGCAAGGTGTGTGGGCACCTTTATGTGAACTCCACGTTTTCAGCAAAATTTGTGGCGCTTTCGGCGCTCTTCAAGCCTTTAAAGCACTCTTCAGCTCCATTTTTGGAAATGTTAATCAAGGATCTTAAGAATGCTGACTGTCACTTTAAAAAGGCAGCCAGCAGGCTTCAGTAACAACATGACACTCGTTCATTAAAGGAGAACTATGGGGTTAAGTCTTTTCCCCATAGTTCTCCTTAGGGTAACGGGAGGACATAAACTAGCGTCCTCCCGTCACCCTAGGCTCAGTATATTGCGAGCTGTAGCTTGCGGTATACTGAGACGCCGCAGCTAAAGCGGATCCTGACAATTGTGCCGGGATCCACCCAGCTGCGTGACTGACAGCTGGCTCTGCCTATCTAGAGGCAGAGCCAGCTGTACTCGCCCGTCCATTCCGCCAGTCAGCGCTTGAGGAGGGGGGAATCCAGCCCCTTCCCTGTCACGGCAGAGAGCTGTGACAGGATCGAGAGGTGAGCGAACGCCGGTATGTGTTCGCTCACCTCCCGATCTACTGAGCCGACCTGTGACAGTCTCATTGTCACAGGTCGGCTAGAACTATGAGGTGAGTGAAAAGCACTCACCTCATAGTTCTCCTTTTAAGATCTGTGATCGGCATTCCCAAACTGGAGCTGAAGGGTGCTTTTAAAGCTTGCTGAAAGCTCTGTGAATTCTCTATAAAAGCTCACTGTTCACACTTATACTAGCTAAAACCTACATGCACTACTTTTTATAAATGCACCATAACACACTAAATTGCGGTATCGTGTGTTGCGGCACAATCGATTGCATTGTGGACAGGAGGTGTTAACGCACAGTAGTGTTAATTGTGTAGTGTTATTGCATGGAGCCATGGGATTAACACGTCACACCTATGTGAATGGACCCTAAGGCAGGGCAGTTGAACCATCGCTAATACTAGTATTGGCTAGTAATTATTACCCGTCTTGTCCCTTTCTTCTTAACGGGCCCTTGATGTATACATTCTGCCCAGATATTACCTGTTCCTACTAAGGGAACTATAGACACATCAGCTTCGTTGCAAGAGTGCAGTTAACACGGTTGCTTTTTTTTTTTTTTTTAAACGGAAGCATTCCAAAGCCACAAGTAATATGTCAAGCAAGGGAGCGCCACAAGTAAAAACTGCAATACTGACAAGTCTGTCCTGTGTAATCATATCAGATTGGTCAGAAATTAGGACTGAAAGATAAATGTATGTTATTACTTGGCCAGCTCTGTTTGCGTCCCATCTGCCACTCAGGCCTTGGTGACAGTATGTAAATGGTAACACCACTGGGCCTATACAGACTGGGCAGTTCATAGCAATCGGGAGGTGAGCGAACAAAAAAAGCAGCAAAACATAAATTGATATGAAGCAGCGTAAAAGGGGCTATTGGGACATAATTCCCATTGGCACCCCATCACACCTCAAAGGGTATAAGTGAACTGAACAGCTCAAAGCACTCAGCAGCTGGCGGTGGCTTTGCATCATGTCTACAATACAATGGTTGGGCCAAGTCTGCCAATTGAATACATTACATACCTGGGTGCCCCAAACACACCCACCCACCTGGAGACCATTCATAACGCCACACAAATTCCACAGACCTCAAAGAAAAGTAAGCCATTGTGTCTGCCATTTGGCTACATCTTCTGCCTATTTTAGGAATAGAAAGCTTTAAAAGAAAAACTACATTTGCTGAGTCGTATGTGTTCTGCCAGACACATTGCCTGCTTTTCCTCTTCCATCTTGTTTTCTCCAGAACGTTTTATTAGTTTTTACAGTCATTTTATTCTTGTTGCCCTTGGGAGTGATAGTCGTGGGTTTTGTCCCAGATTCCTTTTTGTTTTCAAATCTTGAGTACAGAAATGATAGAAGATGAATAGTTTCTGTGGGCAACAAGACCATCTTCATTTTGTATATATGCTTGTGTACTGCAAAATATTACACCCAAAATCATAAACTATAATCACATTTACATTATTCTGTTAAAAACTGTTGATTATAAATAAACTTTCCAGTGACAGGGTTTTGATCACTGCACATGGCATCATGGAGTAGGGATCCCCCAGTTTTATGTCTGCTATGATTTCCGTATTGTGCCTGCAACACCTCCTGCAGGTGAAACCTGGTATTGCACCAAAAGGCATTTAGATCAATAAACTCTGAAAGTCATATGACAGCAGAGGTTCAGTAACTCGAATGCTAATTCAGGGTAGTGGGAGAGAAAGCCCTGACAGGGAGATGCAGTAACGCAGGGGTCTATGATCTGGCTGTAGGGGACATGGGTACAGTGTTGCAGTAAAAACAAGGGAAGAGAAAGTCAATTGAAATGGTTGTGTGGCTTCGGTCTTTCATTTTTTATTTGTACAGTTATCGGAGCTGCCATTGTCTTTTGTAATATATCAAAGTGAATAGATTCGGCATGATGGCAATGTGTTTTGCCTGTTTTAAATGGGGTATAGCATGTTGCTCCCTGGATTTTTTTTTCTTTCTTGCAAGCTTATTATTTAATCATTCAACCAGACTAATTACATTGTTGACTTCACTCGAAAGAGACTCCACAAGAATATGTGAAATACAGTCATAATACATCCAATAAGTGAAAATGCACTAGTTGCAATGAAAAAAAAATTCACTCTCCGGTCACAATAATAATCGTGTACTCAACTGAAAAAAAAACTCAGTCTCCTTTAAAGTAAATTTGTATGTAGTTTCCTCCCAGACACGTATGATGACACCTAAGATTATATTGCAATTTGTTTCTCTGCAGCCAAGTATCAATAAATCAGCACAAAGTTTAACTTTTCTATTTCTGAATGTTACATATGGCAATCGACTTTATAAGGGTAATAAACCAGTAATAACTTTTATGAGGTAAATTAAGCCTAGCAAACGCTCTATGCGTGCAGAAGACCATATATGTCTGGATGACATTTTGATGCGTTTTGATGATTGGTCCTGCATGTTTGTGTGTAAATGCATGGGGTTTATGATATTGAAACACAGCTGTTTGCTCATGTCGTTCTATGTTCTCCTCTACACTGTCCTGTGTACTGTAGTTTGCAGGCTTCAGCACACCAGAAAACCGTGCCAAAGGTAGAACCAGAAGTGGTTAAAGAGACGAAGGGTGAGCAGGAGGAACCCGAAGTGCCAGACTCTTCCTCATTGTCCCTGGCAGAAAAGATGGCTTTATTTAATAAACTTTCACAACCAATCACAAAGGAGGTGACCACCAGAAGCAGAATGGATATCAGACAGCGGAGGACAAACGCTCGATACCTGACTCAGCCCGTTACACTGGTTGAGGTTGAACAGGTATCTTCATTTTATCTCATACTTTGTTACTGTGTTACTTATCTTTTATAGAATTGTTCCCCTGGTGTAATTAGAGCAAGGTTAAAGTGAAACTGCAGCCATTTTTATTTTAGTATTGGATAGTTTAGAGAGGGTCTGAGCCCTTCATCCCCTCCTTTTTTCTGATTGCAGACTTATGTATGCGCTTTATAACATTTAGGACCTGCGTCCATGAGTAATTTCAGCATGCTTTTGATATCACTGTAAGACCCCAATGATATTCAGAAATGACTGCCTGGTGTAGTTGATCTGCTTCATGCTGCATTTGCATTCCCATGGATTTGTATGGGGAGAGAAGCAGTTTTGATGTAAACAAGCTTGCTGACACAAATCTATAGAGGCTTTTTTTTTTTTTTAACTGTATACAGCCACACGCATTGGGATCCCACTGTATAGTATATATGTTGCTGATACTGGGAACAATGCACATTGGGATACAACTGTATAGTATATATGTTGCTGATACTGGGAGCAATAGACGGAGCCACCTGAAGATGCTTTTAGTGCACAGGTACAAATTTCCATTTGTGTATTGTAAATCAGGTCTTCTATTGCCTGCAATTAGCGCAAGTAAAGTCAGAAAGCCTAATCTGCATATGTATTAAAGAATTGATGCCAGAATGCAAGGGTGACAAGGGTCCTGACATCAGTAGGCCACGTCTTTCATGACAAGTTTTCTTTAATGAAAATCAAAATCTCACTACAGACACCTGACTGGCCCCTAAGGCTGATGAATGTACCTGGACTCAGGTGCTGAACTCCAGAGTAGATTCTGGTCTTGGCACACACATCTGGGTGTTTGCCATCATGGTTGCCTCAGGGCCTTCTTTAGGTTCCCATTATTAGAACTTCTGCCCTCTATCAGTCATAGTTGACAAAGTGATGTCGTTGGGATTGATTTACTTAAGGAGTAAAGGCTGAAAGAACAAAGTGAATGTTGGTGAAGAAGGTGAAGCCATGTTCAGTTTGAATGTTCAATAGTGTATGACCAAAAAAGAAGAAATCATTTTTTTTTTTTTTTTACTTTTTACACAATTGGGTAAAAGTGAACATACACTTTGCTAGGAGAAACCACCTCTATTACTTAGCCAATTAATCAACACCGCTGTGTCAAGTGTGCTAAAAGAAAAAAAAAAAAACATCTCGTACATGTCAGATTACCATTTAGATGTCAGATGTTTTGCTGTATGTTTTGGAAGCCTCTGGTACAGTCTTGTTTATTCTCTTCAGCAGCTTTTCAGGATAGGTATTCATAGGAATTGTGTTGGACCTTGGGAAAGTGTCATATTTTTGTGATCTTCCTTTCAGATTATATTGTCTCTCAAATGTAACAAGCAAAACTATTTCATGCGGCATAGTTTTACTGACATTTCAGATTTGGATGCCTGCCAGGTGACGAGGGCTTATTGTAACGTAGTGAAAACACTCACACAATAATTCTAATGTTCAGCCTGCATATCTTTTAACTGTAATAAAAAGACTAAAACCTTGGCTTTCTCTAATGTGCTGATATTTAACCTTGCATTTGTCTAGTGCCCATTCATGTGGGCAGTGATAAAGCATTGGTGTTTTCTGCTAAAGCATTTTGGGCAACCTATGTCCCAACCTATGTGCCTGTTAGTGAATTTTGAAAAATCTCAGAAGCGTCTAAAACGGATGCCATCAACACAAGCCCATAGCCAATCAATACATGGCCTATTAATGTCATGCAGACTAGATTGATGTCGTAGGTTACATTTAAAAAAAAAAAAACTTTAGGGATTTAGACGATTGGTAAATGAAGGCTGCTTTTCAGGTGTGTTTAGCCGAACCCCTGTTTGAGACACTTCGGAGTTCATTGACAGGTGTATCTGAGCTTCAGTTGACCACCTTCTGACCTGCATTTGATCTCCTCCCAAGCCACATCAAATTGGTTCAAGCTTATTTGCATTCCTATTGACTTGTTTGGGCAGAGACGCATTGATGACCCCACAAAAGTCTTTCTGCTCATGCCCTTATCTACTTTAATTATCTCCATTAGTGATATATCTATGCCTTTTTCCATGCTCAAGCTACCAGCCTTGCTACATCCATCGAGGTGGTCTTACTTTCACTGTTGAAATTACATTCATTTATGTTAGAGCAGGGGTGTCCAAACTCCAGCTGTGGTGGAACTACAAATCCCATTAGGCATTGCAAGATTCTCAGTCACAGATATGACTCCCAGAAAGAGATGCATCATGGGATTTGTAGCTTCAGCACAGCTGGAGGGCCGGAGTTTGGACACCCCTGTGTTAGAGGATGCAAGAGGAGACTTGAGGCTTTGTCAGGGTAGGGTGAGCAATGCTACGAGCTACAGTGAGGAAATGACCTGTTAGAATCCCCAAAAGATCGAAGTCGTCAGTCTGTGATTGAGCCCGCCCTTAAGTGTAATGACCATTCAGAAACGAGCGACATCAATAGAATGCACAGCTATGTATGAATATTTGTATTGCCTAGTTTGTATGGCAGCCCATGTTATGTATGTAGTTTCTCTTTAAATGTAGTAAATGAAAATCTCCTGGCCTAACACAAATGGGGAAACTCGATTCCCCAACTGACATGTGTTTCTGGTTTGTTGGCTGTTTGTGCAGTTTAAGAACGGAGGTGAAAAGATCGCTCCATTGTCTCAGAATGTTGTAACATCTGTGGCGACTCTGACGTCCCGGTCTTCTCCTGTCTACCCCGGGGACATGAATGTCACAAAGTCATCCAATTACGATGAGAGAATATCAAATATCTCCAGCGCTTCCACCCTGCTTCACACTTCGATGGAGACGGCGAACACAACAGAGCAGAGCTCACTGCTTTCAGAGTCCTGGAGCTCTCCACAGGCTGATACACTGAGAGAGGCTGAACCAAGCAAGCCCCTGTTTGAGAGCAGATCACTGGCCGCAGAGGAGAGCAGCCCCAGAAAGTCTAGCCCTGCTCAGAAGGAAGTCGTCCACCCTGTGCTAGATGTGTCAAAGGAGGAGGAATCTACCAGAGAACAGAAGAGGCTCGGGCATGTTATCTCAAGTAAGAACACAGTGGAATTGCTCAGCCCACAGACACTGTTACAACCTGCTGTGCAACGAGAGCTGCCAATAGCTGAAAGCTCCCCGCAGGTAGAGGTGGATGACATGAAGCCAGAGAGGAAGAATCTACACTCGGAAACCAACGCATGGAGCATTAAAGGCGCCACTGGTAAGACGCTTTTACATTTTTGGTCTATAAAGATGTGTAGCTTTGTATAAAATGGGTTTTTGCTGTGACTGTGCTTTCATTCATTCACCCTTTTCAGCAAACATCTACAGGATTCACGTTTCACACGTCCCTAGCTAAGGTCTGCTGCCTTTCTTTGTGTATCTTTGTACCAGTATTGGTCAGGTAGCTTTAGCGCAAAATAGTATATTATGGTAATTCAGAGACCTGCATCCCCTCTTTGCTGAAATGTTTTGCAGCTGCTAACCAGCAAATAATAGACTCTCACACACCAGTCATTTATCATCGGCACCGAATTGTCATACTGCCAAAGGGAATAGGTAATATAGGATACAGGTGGTCAGTACTGAGATAAGATTGAGGCTAATGCTAGTTGCCTGGCTGATATGCTGGTCTGAAGGCCCGAGTACTTTGTCACTGACCAGGAACAAGTATGTTTGATCAGGAATTCTGACTATGCTTTCCGCATGCTTGTTCTGGTCGGTGATACAGAAAGTATAAGAATTACTGACAGCCAGGCAACTAGCATTGTTAAGACGGTCAGAAATGGCACCTACCATTTTTTCTCTTGCTATAGCTTTGCTTTAAAGTTTTTTATTTTGGAATAGAATGGAGAAGGGTTAGAACGTCTGGGTTTTTATTGCTGTCTGTCTCTCCAGGGAGTTTTCTCCCTCCTATTTGTAGTAGTGAAAGTACTGACAGGGAAAGGAGGTAAGGGTAAATCTTCCAGTGGGGAAACATGTTCTGTGACATCCATCTGTCCATTTTGATATCCCCTTATTTTGGAGATCTCCTCTTAATGGCTTAAAAGGAAGTTAAGTGAAATTTCCCTAATTGGACTGACACTAGAAGAAAAAAAAAACTACAGCGGCTTAAGGCATTCCCTATTCCAGCATTTCTCAACCTTTTTACAGTCAAGGCAGCCTTTAAAAGTATGCAAAATCTCAGGGCACCCCTGGCTAAAATGTAAACATTGTGAAAGTAAAAAAATTAACCCCCAAAATCTCTACCACAGTGGTTCTCAACCTGTGTAACCTCAGGACCCACATTTGTCCTTGGTCATTAAGTCGTGACCAAAGTCGCACTGCAATGGAACGCACGGCATTAGAGTACCACACCAGATTGCACTGTAGGTGTGATTGCATGGTACAGCGCGTTAATTGCACAGTACAATGCGATTAACACACTGTACTAGTTTGAACGTGCCTTCAAAAACGCTGACATACATACATAACCACAGACACAATCACACACACATACACACTTCAAAAAGGTGCATGAATGGATGGAGCTCCCTCGCTGCCATAGCCCCATCCCATCTCAAGCTGACACTCGGCGCCGGGCAGCATATTTTGAATGGCTGCTTGGTGCGAGAACTGACGATGCTGCGCTACGGGGAGGCAGAGGAGCCTCTCACCTACAAAAGTGGAAGGCACACAGCGACCCACTGAACAAGGGGTCGCGACCCAATTTTGGGTCACGACCCAATTTTGGGTCACGACCCAGAAGTTGAGAAGGCTCTACCAGACCTAGATAGGAGTCTGGTATAGGTTGGTGGCTGCAGGAGCATGGCAGAGGGCTGAAAGCAGAGCTGGGAGACTGACTTCTCTACTGTTCTGAATGTTGGAGAAGGTCTTGGATGCAGCCGCCCTGGGTTAGTGTAATGCATGTCCATTGTGCTAGTGGGAAACTTTGGAAGATGCCATTGTTGACTTCCTTGTAAAAATGCTAGTTGCCTGGCTATAATCTGTTAACCAGATCAGATTGACAGCCAGACAGCTAGTATTTTCAGAAGAACACAAATTGCAGTCTCCGGGTTTTCTCTCGGCACAGAATTAACTAGAATGAGATCTCTTATTAAGAATGACCCTAAAAGTCTGCAAGAGCAAATGTGCTGTAAGGCTCCATTCACACAGGCTTTCTGCATTTGGTTGAAGTGCAGAGGAAATTATCTGGGAAGTATAAACAAATGTTATGCTTCCCAGTTCACGTGGTCCTGTGTTTAAATGTACTTACGTTTACATACATTTAAAATGTCCTGTAAAGGCATGCATGTGTCAGTGTGAATGCGTTTTTAGAGCCTTGATGAAATGTCGGGAACATCCATCTCCATGTTTGCCTCAGGAAAGGTTTCAGTTAAAGGCATTCCTGCAGGCAGACATCTGCTTAGACCACACAGACTACAACACACAGAGGTGTCAGATGAGGTAAAGCAAGTGTGGGATAATACTTCGGCTTCTGCTGCTAATATGACAACATTGAGTTTCAACTGTGACAACAAAGCTGTTCAGCATTAGAGCGCTCTGTTCTGGCAGTAGGTGCATCTTTTGGTTAAGGCATCCATAAATATTGCAGCTGCTGGGCATTGGATATGAGGTGCAAATTTCATCTAATGTGTACTGCTCCATTCTATCTGCCATGTAGACTTTGAGATGTGCAATTAAAGTGTGCAGCCGAAAAAAAAATTTGGAACACCTGTCAGGTTTTTGCCGCTACCGGGGGCTCCACTAGAGATTTCCTCTTATTTACCACCTCAGTGATAATGGTTTCATCAGACAGGAAGTAAGTGGAAATCTCTAACGGCAGCGCAGAAATGGTTTTTCCTGTCTCTCTGTTGCAGGTTCATCCTTACTTGGAACTACAAGTTGATCAGCACAGCCGGAATATAAAATAAAATCTTTTTTTTTTTTTTAAATCCATTGAAAGGCAGGTACAAAAGCACGCTCCTCTGGATGATGTGTTCTAACCCAGCCTTTCTTAACTAGGGTGCCTTATGGCTTCCTCAGGGATGTCTGGAAATTTTTGCACAGCCTTTCTCAACCAGGGTGCCTTACAGCTTCCTCGGGTGCCGTGGAGAAGAATGACGCTAATCAAGGGAGGGTAATATCCATTTAGGAAAGCATGAACATTCACTTTACATTCAGGTCTGCTCTGCATCCCACCCTCTGCAATGCTGTTGTTTTTAACATTTTAGACTGGGATGCCTCAAGGTTTTCCATACTTTTAAAAGGGTGCTGTGACTGAAAAAAAAGGTTAACAAATGATGTTTTGACCATTTTGGTCTTGCCCAATTATCCTTGAAAACATGAACAAATAAAATAAAGTATCTCACTTCTCACAACAGAAATACAGAACAAAAAAGAACGCAGATATACAAGATAAAAAAAATAGGAAAAAAGACCAACTACTTTAAACAGTCAACACTAGAGTAATCATCCTGTGAAAAGACAGCACCTCCAGGCTGTCCCCCATCCGAGTACTAACCAAGCCCAACACTGCTTAACTTCTGAGATCAAATGAGATTGGCGTCATCAGGTATCCTCTGTACTGTGATTGTTAGTCATTGTTCAGATGCTTACATTGTTTTCACAAATGGGAAGCACCTAAAATTTTGAATGTTGCATGCAGCAATTATTATACAGTTTATATACTGATTGACCACTTTATTAGGTACATCTTGCTAGTACCGGGTTGGACCCCCTTTTCTTTTCAGAACTGCCTTACTAGTTTGTAGGAATAGATTCAACAAAGTGCTGGAAAAAATCCTTAGGCCCGGTTCACACCTGGGCGTTTTGTAGCGCGTTCCTACTCTCTGCAAAACGCTCAAACACCGAAATCCCATTATTTCCTATGGGCAGGGTTCCCACCTGGGCGTATTACAGGCCCTATGAACGCGCTACAAAACACCCTACACCCAAAGAAGTACAGGAGTTTATTTGGGGCGTTTTTGCCGTGCGTATCCATTGGGATACAGCCAAGTAGCCCTCGGAAACGCGCGTTTTCTTTACCGCGAACCGCGGTAAAAACGCGCAACAAACGCACATATTCGATACGACTAGGTGTGAACCCAGCCTTAGACATTTTGGTCCATGTTGTCATGATGGCATCATACAGTTGCTGCAGATTTGTTGGTTGCACCATCCATGATGCAAATTTCCTGTTCTACCACATCCTAAAGGTGCTGTTATGTTTAAACCAAATTCTGACTTAACCATTCGAATGTCGTGGCAGAAATCGAGACTCCTCAGAACAGGCAACATTTTTCTAATCTTTTGACCAATTTTGGTGAGCCTTTGCATATCGTAGCCTCAGTTTCCTGTTCTTAGCTGAGGAATACCACCCGGTGTGGTGTTCTGCTGCTGTAGCCCATCTGTTTCAAGGTTGGACGTGTTGTGCGTTCAGATAAGCTCTTCTGCATACCTCGGTTGTAACGAGTGGTTGTTAGTTACTGTTGCCTTTCTATCAGCTTGAACCAGTCTGCCCATTTTCATCCACACAACTGCCGCTCACTGGATATTTTCTATTTCTTGGACCGTTCCCTGTAAACCTTAGAGATGGTTGTGTATGAAACTCCCAGTAGATCAGCAGTTTCTGAAATACTCAGACCAGCCCATCTGGCACCAACAACCATGCCACGTTCAAAGTCACTTAAATCGCCTTTCCTCCCCATGCTAATGCTTGGTTTGAAATCCAGCAGATTGTCTTGACCATGTCCAGAGTTGCTGCCATTTGATTGGCTAATTAGATATTTACAATAACGAGCAGTTGAACAGGTGTACCTAATAAAGTGGCTAGTGAGTTTATTACAATTATGAGGGTGCATTATACCTGTATTACTAAATAAGGCGTAATGCTTGAAATAGTGTGTAAGCTTGCCGAAACAAAAAGTATAGCATCTTAAAAAGAATTTCCTAGTCAGACGCCATACACGCAGGAACTACTACTATGGTGGTAATATCTGGATCTTTCCATGACGGCTGCCTAGGTACTGGGAGATGAATATAATATGGATTCATGTTTTCACATTTTGCTTCAGGTATGAGTTCAGTGCCAACAAAATGCCATATTGTGTACAGTTTAATATTCTCTTGTGTAACAATCATCCATCCTGCAAAGCAATACCGATCGTCAATTTATGGAAGGAAGTTCCACCAGTGAACTATTATTCTCTCTTCACATGGAAAGGGGGATTAGTTCCTTTA